GTCCGAGATGTTCATCAACAACTCATTCTCTGGCTTCCGCAGAATTTCTAAAAATAAGGAAGGCCACATCATCAGTACTGCCCTTGCCATTACTACAGCTTGCTTGTAACTTCCCCTGGAACTGCCCTCCCCAAATCTCCCGTCTGACGCGCAGCCAGAGCCGTTGGCTCGCAGCCCTGCAGTCTCCATGACTTTCCAGAGGCATCGGCAGCACAGGGAGCTCGGGGAGCACGGGGGTAGATTGCAACAGCATCAACCCCGCTCTGCTATGGCCGTTACAGCTTGTGATGCCATCCAGTTCCCCTGCTTCCACACAGAACTTCACACAATGACATGTCAGCTTTACTCACTTCCCAGGTGTTTCTCTTGCTTTTTCCTCATTCCCATATGGTGATCCCAGTTCTGGAGAGCTTTGTGCTGCGATTGTGGGGTCTCCTGAACCTTTTTCTTCTCTCCTTCCCATTTCTCCTTCAAAGCCACCGCAAAAACATCTTGAGGAGAATCCTCAATAAATTCTGCTATCTGAAGAAGAAAAGATTAGATTAACCCTCCTCCCATGAACACACTGCCACTGTGATAAAAAAAGGGAGAGGGGAGGAGAAAAGAAATGTTCAAATTGGTAGTGCCTTTGCCTAATCACTCTAAGGGGAGCAGAAACCGCGCTGGGAGCGCACACACACGGGAGGTCTGTCTGTGTAGGTGGACTCGGGCACTGGTGCTGTTGCATCACCAGCCCTTCCCACGCCAGCCCGGCGCTGGCAGCAGCGGCACAAACGGAGCAGGAAGCTGCTGTCGCCCTTTCTTCCATGACAGGGCTCCTAGACCCGCTGGTGCAGTTTCTCTGAAGCAACCCCTGCACACGGCACCATGAGGCTGGGAAAAACCCCGCTCCGGCCTGACCTGTTCCTGACAGGGGCTGAGTCAGATCAAAAAGTGCTGTACACACTTCACCGCTAGCAAAGTGCTGCATGGCAGCATTTACATCACTTCACAAACCAACCTGAGTGTTTCCTCTGGCTAAAGCTTCCCTCTTGTACTCCTGGAGACTTCCCAAAATGTCATGCGGGAGAAGCTCTTCATGGCCACCACCAAACTGTCCCGATCCTACACAAAGCCAGAGTCAGGTCACTAAAGACAGGTTTGGCAAAACTGAGAGTGGCAGGTGAGACATGAAGCATAAGCATACCAAAAAAACTCAGTGGTTTCCCAGATGCCTCTGGAGCAGCAGGATACGCTACTAGGAGTTGTGTCTTCTTCTGTGTGTCTTTGGGTTGATGTTTTCGAACAAGGAACTTCCTGCTAACTGGAATTCTCTTCTCATCAGAGGGAAGGCGTGGAGGATGGAGCTGCAGAAAACAAACAATCACCTTGTAATTAGGCAGACACTGACCCACCTCCATTCCTTCAGATCCTCTGGGGATTAGCACAGAAACTACATGACATAGTCTGGACAGCCCCATCTGTAATATATGTGTATAGACACCCATTCAATTACTATTTTAATCCTCTTGGCTGCCATAAAATTGGGACAGGGGAAAGAGCTTTAAATGGTTTTCTCAAGGATTTTCTGTTGCATTTCTTGCTGACAAACGCTTATACTCACATGGGTGATAGTTACTAAACAACATATGCCTCTCGTGGGCTAAAAACATTGGAAATGTAATTTTGAAGGGACATGTGACTGATTCATCCTTTTTAAAGCATCATTTAGTATTCCTTTTTATTTAGGAACTGAGTCTGATGATCTGAAAAGTCATAAAGAGCAGGACAGACAAAATGGAATGAACTCCACGGGACTGTTTTGATTCTAATAAATGTTCAGCATCCTCTCTTAAACTCACAACGAAAGCCAAGCTCCAGCAAATGCAGCCATTTCTGCCATGCAAAGGTACCTACTTTCTCCAGATCCTCCACCTTAATCGCAAGCGCTTGGATTTCATCTCCTTGCAGCACACACGGAACAGGCTCGGGCTCTTCTGCAATTGTTGGTGAGGTCACTTCAACCGTTTTTGCCTTCTTCTTGTCTGAAAGAAAAGTCGAGGGGCCTCTTCCCCAGTGCCCCACAGAAATCCTATCTGCTTTCAGTGTGTCTTTCAGTCATTTTAAGCTGAACTACTTTCTCAAAGAATCAAAATCAGCATCCCCTGGACAACCACCTCCTGAGAAGAACCAAGGTGAACTACAGGACCATAGAATCATTATGTTTGGAAAAGACCTTCAAAAGCACCGGGAATAACCTTCTTATACCCTTTGCACTAGATAAGGGGTGATGAATCAGATGTAAACAGTGCAGGTTATAGAGCAGACTGAACTCCAGAAGTTTCCTACGCTGGTTGCAAACACCAGCACAGCTTCAGCGCAGAGGTGTAATATGTTACAGTCACCAAGCAAATCTCAGCTATATGTAAAAAACTACCAACTCCTCCGTACACCCTATACAGCAAGAACTTTGGGGCCATTTAGTGATTGCCACTGGGTTTGTCACCAGCAGGGACAACCACAACGCAGGGAGTCAGCGGAAGGCAGCCTCATATCAGCTGGGTTTCTCCCATACCTCCAGAGTCCTTCCAGCTGCGACAACTATTTTGGAGAGACACAATACGTCGCCCTTACAGTTAAAGGGTAAATAAATAAAAAGTATCAACCATGTTGATAAGCAGTCACTTATAACTGCCTCCGATACACTCGGTGCACACGGCAGAGACCCCCGGGCTGCTGCCGCG